CAGAAAATGCGTTCAAAGCCCCTTTCACCCATCAAAATGTGCCCCCATAGAAAGGGTTTGGGTACAACTGAACTCCCCAGGGGAGACTTCACGCAGCCCCACATGCAACTGGACCCTCCGGGTTCGCTGTTTCTGAGAAAACCTAAATATAGCCCTGGCCGGCATCAGAGATGACTGAAAAGTCGAGACCCAGAAAATTCGTTCCGAGCCCCTTTCACCCATCCAAAAGTGCCTCCAGAGGAAGGCTTTGGGTACAAGTGAACTCCCCAGGGGAGCCTTTACGCATCCCCACATGCAACTAGACCGTCCAGGTTCGCTCTTTCCGAACAACCCTAAACATATCACTAGCCAGCATGGGAGACGACTGAAAAATCGAGCCCCAGAAAACGCATTGCGAGTCCCTTTCGCCCATCCAGAAGTGCCGCCAAAGGAAGGCTTTGGGTACAAGTGAATTCCCCAGGGGAGCCTTTATGCAGCCCCACATGCAACTGGACCCTCCGGGTTTGCTGTTTTCGAGAAAACATAAATATAGCCCTAGCCAGCATTGGAGACAACTGAAAACTCGGGCCCCAGAAAACGGGTTATTAGACCCTTTCGCCCATCCAAAAGTGCCCCCAGAGGAAGGCTTTGGGTACAAGTGAACTCCCCAGGGGAGCCTTTTTGCAGACCCACATGCAACTGGACCCTCTGGGTTCGCTGTTTTCGAGCAAATATAAATATAGCCCTACCCAGCATCGGAGATGACTGAAAAATCGGGCCAAAGAAAAGGCGTTACAAGACCATTTCGCCCATCCAAAAGTGCCCCCAAAGGAAGGCTTTAGGTACAAGTGAACTCCCCAGGGGAGCCTTTATGAAGCCCCGCATGCAACTGGACCCTCCGGGGTCACAGTTTCTGAGCAACCCTAAATATATCCCTAGACGGCATGGCAGACGACTGAAAACTCATGCCCCAGAACACGTGTTCTGAGTCCCCTTGGACCATCCAAGAGTGCCCCCAAAGAAAGGCTTTGGGTACAACTGAACTCCCCAGGGGAGCCTTTACGCAGCCCCACATGCAACTGGACCCTCCTTATTCGCTCTTTCACAGCAAGCCTAAAAGTAGCAATAGCCGCAATGGGAGAAAACTGAAAAAGCGAACCTCATAAAACGCATTGCGAGTCCCTTTCGCCCATCCAAAAGTGCCCCCAAAGGAAGGCTTTGGGTACAAATGAACTCCCCAGGGGAGCCTTCACGCAGCCCCACAAGCAACTGGACCCTCTGTGTTCGCCCTTTGTGAGCAACCAGAAACATAGCTCTACCTGGCATGGGAGAGGAATTGAAAATATGGCCTGAGAAAAGGCTTTCAAAGACTCCTTTCGCCAACCATAAGTGTCCCCAATGGAAGGCTTTGGGTACAACTGAACTCCCCAGGGGAGCCTTCACGCAGCCCCACATGCAACTGGACCCTCTGTATTCGCTCTTCCTGAGCAACCCGAATCATAATCCTACCCGGCATGGGAGAAGAATTCAAAATATGGCCCGAGAAAATGCGTTCAAAGCCCCTTTCACACATCCAGAAGTACCCCCAATGGAAGGCTTTGGGTACAACTGAACTCCCCAGGGGAGCCTTCACGCAGCCCCACATGCAACTGGACCCTCTGTATTCGCTCTTTCTGAGCAACCCGAATCATAATCCTACCCAGCATGGGAGACTAATTTAAAAGAGGGCCCGAGATAATGAGTTCAACGCCCCTTTCGCCCATCAAAAAGTGCCCCCTTAGGAAGGATTTGGGTACAACTGAACTCCCCAGGGGAGCCTTCACGCAGCCCCACATGCAACTGGACCCTCTGTGTTCCCTCTTTCTGAGCAACCCGAAACATAGCCCTACCCGGCATGGGAAACAAATTCAAAAGAGGGCCCCAGAAATCGCGTACAAAGTCCCTTTTGCCCAACCAAAAGTGCTCCCAAAGGAAGGCTTTGGGTACAACTGAACTCCCCACGGGAGCCTTCACGAAATCCCACATGCAACTGGACCCTCTGTCTTCGCTGTTTCTGAGCAGCCCGAATCATAGCCCGACCCAGCATGGGAAAGGAATTGAAAATATGGCCCGAGAAAACACGGTCAAAGACCCTATCGCCCATCCAAAAGTGCCCCCAAAATAAGGCTTTGCGTACAACTGAACTCCCCAGGGGAGCCTTCACGCAGCCCCACATGCCACTGGACCCTCTGTCTTCGCTCTTTCTGAGCAAGCCGAAATATATCCATACCCAGATTCGGAGAAGCATTTAAAATAGTGCCCCTGAAAAGGCGTTCAATGCCCCTTTCGCCCATCCAAAGGTGCCCCGAAAGGAAGGCTTTGGGTAAAACTGAACTCCCCAGGGGAGCCTTCACGCAGTCCCAAATGCCACTGGACTCTCTGTGTTCTCTCTTTAAGAGCAGACCGAAACATAGCCCTACCCAGCATGGGAAAGGAATTGAAAATATGGCCCCAGAAAAAGTGTACAAAGCCCCTTTCGCCCATCCAAAAGTGCCCCCAAAGGAAGGCTTTGGGTACAACTGAACTCCCCAAGGGAGCCTTCACGCAGCCCCACATGCCACTGGACCCTCTGTCTTCGCTGTTTCTGAGCAACCGGAAACATATCCATACCCAGTATGGGAAAGGAAATCAATATATGGCCCAAGAAAATGCGTTCAAAGACCCTATCGCCCATCCAAAAGTGCCCCCAAAGGAAGGCTTTGGGTACAACGGAACTCCCCAGGGGAGCCATCACGCAATCCCACATGCCACTGGACCCTGCGTGTTCGCTCTTTCTGAGCAACCCCAATAATATCCTTCCCGGGATTCGGAGAGGAATTCAAAAGAGGGCCCCATAAAATGTGTAGAAAGTCCATTATGCCCAACCAAAAGTGCCCCAAAGGAAGGCTTTGGGTACAACTGAACTCCGCAGGGGAGCCTTCACACAGCCCAACATGCAACTGGACTCTCTGTGTTCTCTCTTTTTGAGCACCCCGAAACATAGCCCTACCCGGCATGGGAGAGGAATTCAAAATATGCCCCAAGAAAACGCCTTCAAGGCCCCATTTGCCCATCCAAAAGTGCCACCAAAGGAAGGCTTTGGGGACAACTGAACTCCCCAGGGGAGCTTTCACAAAATCCCACGTGCAACTGGATCCTCTGTGTTTGCTCTTTCTGAGCAACCCGAAACATAACCCTACCCAGAATATGAGACGAATGAAAAATTGGGCCCCAGAAAATGCATTCAAAGACCCTTTCGTCCATCCAAAAGTGCCCCCAAAGGAAGGCTTTTGGTACAACTGAACTCCCCAGGGGAGCCTTCACGCAGCCCCACATGCAAATGGACCCTTTCTGTTCACTCTTTCTGAGCAACCAGAAACATAGCCCTACCCGGCATGGGAGACAATTTTAAAACAGGGCCCCAGAAAACGCTTACAAAGTCCCTTTCGCCCATCCAAATGTGCCCACAAAGGAAGGCTTTGGGTACAACTCAACACTCCAGGGGAGCCTTCACACAGCCCCATATGCAACTGGACCCTCTGTGTTTGCTGTTTCTGAGCAACCCGAAACATAGCCCTACCCAGAATCTGAGACGAATTAAAAATTGGGCCCCAGAAAACGCATTCAAAGACCCTTTCGCCCATGCATAAGTTCCCCCAAAGGAAGGCTTAGGGTACAACTGAACTCCCCAGGGGAGCCTTCACGCAGCCCCACATGCAACTGCACCCTCTGTGTTCCCTCTTTCTGAGCAACCCGAAACATAGCCCTACCCAGCATGCGAGAGGAATTCAAAAGAGGGCCCCAGAAAACGCATACAAAGTCCATTTTGCCCATCAAAAAGTGCCCGCAAAGAAAGGATTTGGGTACAACTGAATTCCCCAGGGGAGCCTTCACAAAGCCCCGCATGCAACTGGACCCTGCGTGTTCGCTCTTTCTGAGCAACCAGAATCATAACCCTACCCGGCATGGGAGAGGAATTCAAAATATGGCCCGAGAAAATGCGTTCAAAGCCCCTTTCGCCCATAAAAAGGTGCCCCCAAAGGAAGTCTTTGGGTAAAACTGAACTCCCAAGGGGAGCCTTCACGCAATCACACATGCCACTGGACACTCTGTCTTCGCTCTTTCTGAGCAACCCAAAACATAGCACTACCCGGAATCTGAGACGAATGACAAAGAGGGCCCCAGAAAACACCTTAAAAGCCCCTTTCACCCATCCTTAAGTGCCCCCAAGGAAGGCTTTGGGTACAACTGAACTCCCCAGGGGAGCCTTCACACAGCCCCCACATGCAACTGGACCCTCTGTGTTTGTTCTTTCTAATCAACCCGAAACATAGCCATACGCAGCATGGGAGAGGAATTGAAAATATGGCCCAAAAAAATGCATTCAAAGCCCCTTTCACCCATCCAAATGTGTCCCCAAAGGAAGGCTTTGGGTACAACTGAACTCCCCAGGGGACCTTTCACACAGCCCCACATGCAAGTGCACCCTCTGCTTTCACTCTTTCCGCGAAACCCGAATCATAACCCTACTCGCAATGGGATAGTAATTCAAAATATGGCCCGAGAAAATGCATTCATCCAGCAATATTTTAAGTCTCCAAAATTTGTCCGAGCACTAAGGAAAACTAATCTTGAGTGTTCCCAATAATGCATCTTTGAACAATATCCTTAGAACAACATTCTCCTCCTCCTCTGAGCCACTTGTATTTTGAAGACCAGCCCTATCCAGAGAGAACTGCTACACATAAATGCTGCTTTACTTTATTACTTTTTCAGACTGCATTTCAAATTCCTGCTCCTGGCAGTGGTTCTATTCTAATGGTACGTAACGGTTCACAGAAGCAGCTAAAAACCTTGACAATGCACAAGTAGAAAATAAACACACACCGAGAGCCAGATTTCTGATAGTGGCTGTCAGAAGAGCTTCAGCACTCAAGCAAGAGGCATCAGTTCTTTGTTTTCATTTAAATTAGTTTTTAGGGATGGATGAAAGCACTCCAAGTTCATGGAAAGGAAGGAGGAGAAAGCATATTTAATATCTAGCTGTTACCTCTCTCAGTGCTGGTCTGTTTAGGAGGTAATCCCAGCCTGTCCTTCAGAGACTTGGCAACTTGAACTGCAAAACAGAAACAGAACGAATTAGGGAGGCTGCATAATGTCAACTTCAGGTTCACAGTTCAAAACAAGACAGGAAAGGTAACTTTGAATCCCAGTGATTACGACCTCAGCCAACATGCAAAAAGAAACATCACTGGAAAAGGACAAACAGAAAGACTAAATACAAAACCCAGGAATCCAATCCAGATGCCCGTTTAGTACCTGTATCTCTCTTGGGTGCTTTGTCAGCATTTCCCAGAGCCTCTACCTTCTTCTCCAGCCTTTCAGCAAGGCTGCGCTTCACTGGAACGGTGCTTACATCATCTTCAGAGAAAACAAGGAATATTGTAAGAACTTTTCTCTGCAGGAAGGTTTGAGAACAGTCAACAATAAGCTTCTATTTTTCAAGCATATTTTCATAGAATTGCCTTTCAGCTGCTAAATGATTTTTTTTTATTTTTTTTTTGCCATTTCTGCAGTCAACACAGATCTCCACTGCAATCATTTCATACCTCAAAAATACTCTTTAATGCAGTCATATATAGAAGGCAGCATCTACGTAACAGCTCATAAAAGTTCTTACCCGCGGAGGCTTTCCGTTTTCCTTGTCTATCAGCAAGATCTAGTCGAACCACAGGTTCCTCCCCTAAAACAAAAGGGAATTTTTTTTTCTATTTCACAGAAACCAGTAGCCAACAGAAATATTATGTTAGCCCTTGTCCAAAAAAACCCCAGTCAGACACTGTTTTGACAGCTAAACCACATAAACTCATATTTTAACTATAATTAACATAGAAAAAAATATTAAGAGTCTCAGTGCTTGCTTCAAATTCCAGCTGAGATAGTAGAGCATGAATCTGAATCTGCTTGACAGCTATACTTTGTGCAGAACAAAGCTGCATAAGCAAGCAGAATATTATTAGGTACAAATGCTGAGAAATAGTCCTTTCTAAGGTGAACGTCTACGAGTAAAAGTACTTCCACACTTTTTTCCCTTTAAAAGGCATTTGCACAGCTCTAAACAATTTATACACAAACTCCTGTCATACTGTGTCCACACCTGCCACTGTCAGCTTCTTTAATGCTTCAGAAATTGCTTCTTATATAGCACTGTCTTCTACAGCTCTTTCTTCTCGTTACTCTTCTGTTTTTCAGTTACCCCCTATTTGCATACTGACACTTTTTTTTTCTCCTGCCACTGCACTTAACCTGAGCACCAAATCTTTCCAGTACAACCAGGGACTTGAAGCATAAAGCACATTTTGAACAGAAGGCAGCACCAGAAGGCTAACACGGGTGAATTGTTTTAATTATTGCTTAACCCTCCAGTTTAGGAGTAATGAAATCAAAACAAAAGCATTCCTTACTACCTTTCTTGGAAGACAGTGTCACAGTTCTCACCACTGTCCGGACAGTTTTCCTTTTCTGGAGCAGGAAAAATCATAGAATCAACAGGACAAAGAGAAGATCTTGAAGAACCTTCTGTTCAGAGCAACCAAAACATAAGGAAGTTTACCCAACATAAAAAACTATCACAAAGAACAAAAAACTTTAAATTATTTGTTACTGTCCAAAATACAGCAAGCAGAGCATGTAAATAAGAGAGGTGACACTAATTTGCCTCTGGTTGCCCTTTGAACTCCCATTTAGAATACCAGCTGGCTGAGAATCAGGTTGCTTGATGCCCCCAGCTAAAAATGGAAGTCTGTCCCTCAAGCAGCTCCCAGGCACCATCACCTGCCGTGAACAGGATAGAAAGTAGGGAATATTAACTCACCACCGTGTCTCTTATTTTTTTCCTTCATCTTCTGCGATTTGATTTCCTCAAGTGTTTTTATTCCAAAATTCAGATTGCCCTCTGAAAACAGGAAACAGTTCATGAGACAGGCTTAGAGGCACTCACTGAGGACCACAGCTCCTCAGGCTTCTTAGCGCTCAGCAACTTTCTGAAGTATTTAGAATAAAGCCTGTCAACACTCCTCACAAGTGAAAGAGCCAGAGAACCAAGGGCATTTTGCCCCTCCTTTCATCCTTCAGGCTTAAAAATGTAGTTTTAATTTTAATCCATTTACACGATATTAGATCCCTCTGTCGTTAGATATGGCTTATCAACAGTGGTTGCAAGGCTGCACGTGCAGCCATTTCAACTCCACGCTGTGGCCCTGTTTTGTTCTCCAAAAGTAAAGAAAAGGAGTTCACCTTTCTGACCCAATGGGCACATGATGGTATTCATGGCAGAAATGAGATCATGGAAATAACCGAGTCCATTCAGCACCCCTACATTTTGTTGTGTTTTTACACCACACTGCTTTTGAGTTAACTGTCAAGTTCTTCTGATTTATCCTACTAAGGTGCTTCAATACCTTGTTTAGTAGTAGTAGAACTGCCTTTGCGAGTGGAAATCACCCGTAATCCATTTTTGCCTTCCGCAGCTGGTTGCTGGACGGGAGTTCTAGTTTCTTCTCCTTCCTCAGAAAGTTGGTCTGAAGGGGAAAAATCTATTCAGTTATGCATAGACCAGATTGTTCATGATTACGTAGCTCATGCAGTGACACTTCAGCCCATGCTTCATATAAAAAACTTTGTTGCTCTTTTGTTTTGTTTTGTTTTTTAAACAGCTACACTGACCTGATGAACTCCTAAGTAGAATACACTAGGACAAAACATCTAGGACTCTAGATTCTCTCTGCAGCTTTAACTACTACACAACACATTGCTCTTCAGACAGAAAAAAGAAATTTCCTTCCTAGTTTCACATAGAACTTTACACAACAGACCAGCTAAAGCCAGGAGTGGTTCTAAGCTTTCCTCCAACGTTTCAGGTTCTGTCCACTGACTGCCAGACAAAGCCACCAGTGACCTGGCCACACTGCCTGCCCTATCGCTAGCCAGACCTCAGGTCATCTGTGATTTATACATTCATTTACAGCACAGATTCCTTCAAGAACCAAAGATTTACACAACCATTTACAGCACAAATTCCTTCCAAGAACCAAAACATGCTCACCATCATCATCTTCATCATCATCTGCAGCATTGATTACAACTGGAGAGTGTGTAGGGCTTGGGACATTTTCAGAGTTTTCCACTTTCATCACCCCCTTAGCTGTGGAGAGGGATTTGACTGGACAGAAAGTTTGTTTTGCTGCAGTGACATCTGAGCCACTTTCAAAGCATCGTCCGCGGACTCAGGCGGACTTGGCAGTGTAGCTAGAGGAAGAGGAGGATCATCGGTAATATGGCAGTTTAAAACTTTGACCACAATTTGGCAAAGAGGTGGTAGGAAAGGCAGATAACCCGCACAGACAACGAATTCAGCATCTCCTTTTGCCCATCCCATCACTGTTTACACCGTCAACAATGACTTCCCTTCGAACAACAACACATCTCCCTGCCACCCAGCAAAAGATGAAACAACAGGAAGCAAACTGCAAGGCAAACATCACACAAAGCCAAGAGAAGCTGAGCACGAAAGCAGAAAACAAACACCAGCAGTACACTCCGTGCAGTACACCTATGACTGCAGACCTTTTCCTGCACTCACAAATGAACAGTTACCTGATGCCCCCTACAGGATTGGCACCCACTAAGTAATACTCCAAGTTAAGCGCTTCAAGAAAAAGGACCTAAACTCACTCTTGCTTGGTGGGAAGAATTGTCCATCGATGTCACGTCCCTTTGCATGACGAAAAGCACAGTTGGCTTTCTGACAGCCTCCCGGCTGCTTCTCCCAGTAGCAAGGAATCTCACTGCGCTTTTTCTGAAGACAGAAAGAAAGAAAAGCTCGTGATAACACGCACCTGAGGCTTGCAAAGAGATGCGCAGCTCCAGATCATGACAGCTGTCACAACACAGTGCTGAAACATCATTCCAAAGGTCAGTTTCTCAGTTAAGTGGAGTATTTCTGGGCATATTCACAAAGTTTGCATAAGCTGGAACCACTATGCACATTTAGATTTGTCATCATTCAGTTTGAGAAGACAGGCACTCTCAGACATCAGTTGAGGGTGGCTTAAACTAATACACCTAGGATTATACTAGCATTATTCAGAGGGAAAAAGAACATCTGAAATTGCCTAGGTTAACCCTGTCTAGAACTACTTCTTGGAGACTTAGTTCTTCTGCACCTTTAACTTTCCCCACTTCCTTTCCTACCCCAGGCAGCTAGAACAGCGTTATCGGAAGGATTTTATTTCCCTCTGCTTCCTCCCACCCCCTCTCTTGGTAACAGAAACCAGTATGATTTTGAAGCAAACGAATCTATCCTGCACAAGCACAATCAGTACACCTACGGCACTGAAAAATGCTTTTGTTGATTTAGTTTGAGAACACATCGTTAGGCACTCACGTCAATTTCCATGTGTCTGAATCGGCAGACGTTCCTGAAACAACGACCCTCCTGCCACAGCTTGCAGACCGTCTCATTGCCCAGAGCAGCTTCGCAGTGGCGGTAGGCACATTTGTCTCCCTGGAACCAAAAGGAAACCAACGAGGAAAATAGAGTACAGCCTCAAAAATGGCCATGCTGCTGCCTAAGGTTGCTACAACTGAATTCAGAATCTATCTGGTTCTCAAGTTAACCAAAGACCAGTGTGCTTCCTCCTCCTAATCTACTCCTTCCTGAAAAAAATGGGGAAAAAAAAGCAAAGCAAAGGAAAGCCAGCCATACCTTGGTACAGGTAGAATAGAAATAGAAGTAGCAATCCTCTCCTTGTTTAGACATGCCGACGAGTTCTGCTAACAAGCTCGGCTTCTCTCCACAGGGACTTCCTCTGCTCTTGGAGAGAGCTGTCTTCACCCTTGCTTGGGCTGAAAGTCTTCTACTGGCTTGTGAGCAGGGAAATCTTCTTTTGAAAAGTAACCCTCCTGAAGAAAGTAACAAGTGAAAAATAATGAGGAACCAACATTTTTCCAGCTTTCTTCAGTTCATCAAATCAAGTTATCAGTCTCTCGAAGAGAGCAAAGCCTTGAAATCAGCTGTTACATGAACTAACTAAATATGAAAGTTCCCTAAAGCTGCCAGGAGCTTTGTCAGCAAGCGTTCTCTTCCACATCCTCAATAAGATGACTTGGAGCACACCTGGAAGCCTGAAAACGGAGTCACTCCTTAAAAATCCACCTGATCATACATGCAAGTCAATAATCAACTCTGGCTACAAATAACTTCTCTAGAACACAGTTAGGACGCATTAAACAGCACGTTGCAGGCACTGTGGGTCTTCCATTTCACCTACCTGGACAACCTCAGCAAAGTTATCGATCTTCAAAGACTTCCAGTTAACTTCTCCTGGAGGCCGAACCAAGACTGAATCCGTGAATTATTAATAAAGGGCTAGGAAGAATTTTCCTCCTCACTTTGCCAAGGGAACCTCTCATCCACAATTCAAACATAGCATGCGCTTTTAAACAGCTTATAACTAATAGAGGAAGCAAGTCCATTTGAATGCTCTCTCAGACTGGAGACAGCCAGGGTTAGTTAGCTCTTCAAAACAATATAAACCAAAAAACAAAACAAAACAAAAACAAAAAACCCAGCGCATTTAGAGATGAACTCGTGATTCAAAGTGGCTGCAAAAATGAGGCTCCATGTTCTACAGCCGGTCAATCTAACTTTTTTTTTTTTTTTAATTTAAAATTCAGTATGTTCCAATCTCTGGTCTTCAAGATTTCTTCACCTATTAAGAAAACACAAAAACCTTTCCCTGTCTTTATTACCTGTACAGCAAAAAACATACCACAGTGCATATAAATCCACAGATGTGCATACGCATACACACGTCTGTGTTTATACACACACGAGGAGGGAGTGAGAGAAAGTTAGCGAGAGCGACAGTGAAAATCAGAATTTTTGCCTTTTCGACACAGAGAGCGCGTAGAAATTCTCTCATTTTGAGGGAACTAGAAAAAAATGGAGGCTCTACAAAAGATTTTGATGAGTATGCCTTCGAGGCCGATGCTTTGTAACATGAGTGATCTGGGGGCCAGCACACAAATATGCAGACGTATGTACATGCATACAGGATAAACAGATCTATACACACAAGCGTGCACAGTGTATGTTGTATGATCTCCATAGCGAGAACAACTCGTAGCCCTGATCAGACACGTAGAGTTGCAATCAATTAAGAGCAGGAAGACAGCAGATCAAGGGTACAGCAAGCTTTGAGAGGCAGGGGAATGCTCACTTTGCCAGTGGCATGGCTGCATGATACCAAGGATTTTGAATTAGTTGGATTTTTTGGAAGCAATTGGGTTTTTCTTTCTGCGCTGTAGCAAATACCACAGGTTTGCCATCACGTGCTGTTCCCTAATCCATATCTCCATCCTCATCCATTGCTGCAGGATCATGAAAGGTTAGAGAAGACGACTTAGGTCTTCTTCAATTTAACAGCCAATGATTTTTCGATGAGCAGAGCTGCAACAGATTTTATTTAGCCACAAGCATTTTGTTTTTCTTTTTTCTGAGATGAAGTCAGAAATTTTGATTCTTTTTTTTTTTTAAAGACACTAAATGTCACAAAACCTGCAACCAGACCAGATAAAGTTCAAATTAGAGTGATTCTGAATCCTTTCATGAAAACGCTGCACATTTCTGTGCAAATTATTTCTGACTCTTCTGGACAAAAGTGGATGAAATAGTTCTTACAAATTAATAATCAAAGGTTGGAACCTTTTACTCACACAAACACTAGTGAATTTTCCAGGAAATATTTTTTTGGCAGGGAATTTTCCCAAATCTAAAATAAAGAGAGGAAAAGTTGGCTTCTCATATTAGTTACTGCTTTTGACTGCTGGACAAAGGGAATAAAAACAGTAGTTAAGTGCAAGCTTTCCTTCTCTTCTTTACTATGGATAGGAATCGTCACTTCGCACCTTTAGCACCTTCAGAAACACACCCAGTGCCATGCAGGTTCCTCTGCATCTACTTCTAACAATTACTGGTGCTCCTTAGCATGGAAGTTTGACTCAAAACACTCTCCAGATGTAGCTCTTTTGACTGCCCAAGGAGCTCATCATTTTGCTTGTTGCCTTCCAGTTTCCTGAACAGACCGGGAACGCTGTTCAGAATCTGAATGGATCTGGTCTAAGGAATGGGAAGAAAGCAAAACCAAGCATACCTCGCAGCCCTAAATTCCAAAAAGCAGTCTCATTTTAAAAAGGACCTCAAAAGCTTTTTTTTTTTTTTTAAACTGACATCTGCTAACACGGCAATCCAGGCGCTAAACCAACTGAAGTTGCCCCTGAAAGCCTGAATAAAAATTAGTAACTCTGGTGCACTCAGCAGGTCTGTAATAGAAGTTGGTAAGATTTTTAGATTTCTTTTTTTTTTTTTTTGCTCCAGGGTGCCTGTGAAACTTTTGCATTACGAGATTTTGAACCTTTTGTACCAAAGAATTAGAGATGCGCTACAGTGCCAGTAGCTGGGGGTCTGGAAATACACACCAACAAGTGTCATAAGCTTTGCCTTTGCTGAAGGAAGATAAATAGTACCAAGAAAATCTGTCTAGTTTGTTTTACAGGCTTGTCTTTCTCAGTATGGAACAAACGGACCTCCCTGGTCTAACTTTGCAGTTGCCTATTCTGCCTTTGTCCTGGAGAGAAGAGCAAGAAAGGAACAAATCTATTTTTGCACTCCAAAAACGCAGTAGAGGAGGATTATCACACCCACCTAAGGGTACTTCCTTGTTTGTTTATAAAGCACCAAGTATTTCTCTTGGACAGTCTCTGTTGCTGGTCTGTTTTGTGCCTTCCATTTACAGTAAAGATACTAAGATGCTTACCCCTTGTTTTTTGTTGTTTTTTTTTTGTTTTGTTTTTTTTTTTTCTAAAGAACAGTGGAAGTGGAGAGTCGGATGACAAGCAAGAACAAACACTAGAAACTCCTTGTTCTGCCCCTGCTTTTTAATCACCCAGCATCACCCCGGCTGCAAAACAGCCTCTGCTGATTTACCTGCTTGTTAAAGCACCCCACAGGCTGCAAGTGCGGTGTGCTAGGTGTCAAGTTCTATTTCGCGTTGCACAGGGAACCATTCATCTTCCCACAGTCGAAGCACAGAACAGCCTCTTGCTAACAGAACTCATCCCTGCTGCTGCAAGAAACCTCATGGCCTGCAGGAAAACCTCAAGCTAAGAGTTCCAAAGCAAAAGCAGAAAACGCATGATTTGTACTCTTTATATTGGAGTAAATTCTAGCTGCTAAACGCTGCCTACATCTGAGGGCACGTGCTGAGGCTGGGGGGAAGGACACTCAATACCCACTGACAGCAGGAGTGCAAAGATGCCAGCCAAGAAGGCAAAGGTTAGAGCTGAACGCTGCCTCAGCTTCCTCCAGCAGCCAGCTGGGGGGCACCTTTCAGCACGCTCTCTGAGACTCTGAGCCCCGAGTTACCGCAGCCGCCAGCTACAGCTGCTCCTTGCTGGCCCAAACTATTGGAAGAGTCTTCAAACGTCAGGGACCTGTTTTATGACAGCCTCAAGATCCAATTAATCTGTTCCTGAAGGCGCTGATCGTCCTGGTGTTTCTGGAGCTGTCCAAGAACAATCCTGAACTGAGGCACTCGTCTGATCAGACAGTGCTTCGGCACAGATTTCTCTTTAGCTTGACACATCAAGGTGAAGAGGAATCGATTCTTGCAAGCACCCTCTCAAGCAGGGATCTAATAAGGTGACCAAAACGACAGATCTGTTGTGCAGATCTGAGCACGTCCCTCTGCAGGGAATCACTTTCAAGCCTAAGATGTTTCACCCATCTCCCTGCCCCAGAGCGACACAAGTAAAGCTCTTAAGCAATTGCTAACCTGTTCTCAGTGCTCACGAGTCCCAAATCACTCATTTTACAATCTATAAACCATGGCAGCTGGCACCTAGCTGGCACACGGTGACACTGCACACGTTGGCAGTGTCGTCAGGAGCTGCAAAGTCAGGGCTGAGGGGGTTAAGGGAAAACCACACATCAGTTTAGCAACTTGGCTCCCGTAGGATACTTCCTACGGCAGGAGTTTCAGCAAAGCCACTCAGAGGGACCTGCTGGCTAATTCAAACGGGACTTCTGCTGGAGCAGTCAGAAGGCAGCAGGAGATATCCAGTGGGCATCACTGTCAGTCTGTGGCAGTTTGGGGTCCAGGTATCAGTGGTTAGGTGGGGTTTTCTCTGCTTCACTTTCTCCAAAGCTGTGAAAAAATATTTCTTTTACAGCTCTGTACAGTCCCACGTTACGGATGGAACCAGCTGCATCAACTTCCAGTACGACGGCGTTGGAAAAAGGTGCCTTTGGTGGTCAGGAGCACAACAGCTCTGCTGATGTGTTATTTAAGTGTGGTCTTACATCTGAGTTTCCTCATAGCAGTATGTAGCTGAGGGGGTCCAAGTTTCCCAGGGAAGATTTATGTTTTTTCTCCTACCAAGCACCAGCTCAGTATACAAAGCTCTGTTAATAACACCCAAGCATGTAGATGTTAAACTGAAACTGCTTTTAAACCTAGTTGTTGTGACGAAAATAGCTTAAGTTAAGGTAAAAGTTCACATGGAAGTACAGAAAAACCCAGAAGCGCTTCCTGAGCTTCAGTTTACCAACAGCACCATCGGATTTAGATCCTGGCCTGGCAGCCAGGATGCAGGCTCTGTAAGCATTGCTGCCATGTGGAAGTGCCAAGGCAGGTTTCTGGCCTGCCCTGACTAAAAGACCTTTTTTTTTCATACAAACAGCGTGCCAGGTACGCTGTAATGCCAATGTGCCAGGTCAATAGAGGATGTCAAACAACAGAGGCGTTTCTCCTAATTTCTGGCATGAAAACGCTTTTAACAGCAGTCTTTTCACCAAGAAACCCCTCTCTATCTTCTCCAATGCTCCAGGATCTGCTGCAGCTGCAGCAGCCGCGCTGCTACAACCCACATCTTTGCCAAATCTTTTCAATAATTGTGCTTTACCTCGGCAATGTTGAGGTCACTCCTCTTCCTCCTCCAGCTGAGGAAGCAGCTCGCTGGCTCTGCCACACCGCAGGTGCGCAAGCGAAAGCTGGGAACACAGGAGTCAAACTCTCAGTGCTCACGAAGCCACCAGGGCACAGGGCTGACACAGAGGCACCCCGGATCTGCTCTCCCACCCCGCTGCGAGGCTCACAGCAGCCCCGACCCGAAGCGCACACAATGCTTCGCATGGTGATGTCACCGCTGACTCTGAGTCCCCAGGTGAGGATCTGCCTCACCACTCTCAACGCTGGGGTTGGGTTTTGGTTTTGTTTTTCTTTTTTTTTTTTCTTTTAAACATTCACAGCTTATGGGAAAACATCAGGTAAACCACAGATCGCTAGGGAAGAAGTCCCACACGAGGGAAGTCCGTGCTCTTCTTCCAGGCAGCGGCACGTGCTTTAACACGCCGCGTTCGACAAAGCAGCTCTCCCCGTTTTGCTCAGTGGCAACAGGCACGACTGCAACGCACACAGGTGTAGGCAGCACCTGCAGGTCCCAAACCCTTAACCGGTTTGTAGAGAGCACCAATTTTTGAAGTAGTGGTTCTCCCTTAATCCATGAGCCCTTCTTTCCTTTATTTATAGCGGGTGGCTCTCCTCCATTTTCCTCCTCAGTGTCTGAGCAGACACTGGGAATCGTTTCCGGAGGAAGGGCACTGCTGAAGCTCCTACATCTACTCTCCGAGAAAAGAGAGTATGTCAAAGAATACAGATTTCCTTTCTTTTTCCTTTTTGAAATACAATTTCTGAAATCAACGCTGCGGCCTGGCAGCAAATACCTACGGGACTAAAGAGGATTCCTCATCCTCACTGTAACGTTGTAGTTAACCTCCCAACGAGCCCATCTCCCCAGGAAGTGGCCATTTGAGATGGGAAGGGGCAGAGCAAGAGGAAGCTCTCCTTAGCCTAGCTCTTCCCCCAACACCACCTCGCCACCCAGCACCAAATTCAATTCACCTGCTCCGCCCGACCAGTTCGAACGGGCGTCCGACGCTGGCACACGCCACAGCGGTGGTTCTGACGTGGCTTAAATCACCTATCCGCAAAATATCTCGGCTCTGTACGCTCCAATAACGCAGTAGTTGAGAAATAACGCCAGAGCTCACACTCTGAGTGCAGGCCCATCAGCACCGAAGCACCGGGAGGCTAAAACATTCCCAACCTGGCAACAAGGCTGACCCAAGCAACAGCACGGAACCCTTCTGCACCTTCAGCGTGGACATCAGCGAAGGAAACACAGCTCAGGAGAGGGCAGGGACGGGGCAGGGTGGTGGGCCAGATGGCCAGAGGGTGGACGGATGGACGGACAGACAGCCGGACAGAGGGCCCAGCAAGGCCTAAGGAAGGGCTCAGGAGCGGGAGGGAAGGGCAGGGCGAGGGGAAGGGCGGCCCCGGGCCTAACAGGGGACCTTGGGCCTAACCCCGGGCAGCAGCTCCGCGTCTCACAGGGCCCAGAAGGGGCTGATACGGGGGGGGGAACACCCCAGCCCTCCCCCAGCCCACCCCCAGCCCCAGCCCCTGCCTCCAGCCCTGCGGCCTGCACCCCCCCCCCGCTCCCTCAGGGCACCCCGACCCGCAGGGCCCGGGACGCGGCCTGCTCCCCCTCAGGGCAGCGGAGGGGAGCCGGGCCGGGCAGGAGGCCTTTCCCCCGCCCCCCGCTGGTCTATGAAGGGCTCTAGTTACCGGCGAGCAGGGATTTTTACCGAACCCCAAGGGCCCAGGGCCGCCGCCGCCGTCCCATTTTTTTTTCTCCGGGGGCTGCACCGCTCAGGGCCAGCAGAGCAGCGCTTCCCCTTCCCTTCTCTGTCTGTGCCAAGATCGTGCCTCGTCTCTCGAGTCCTGCCCGTGATGGTGCCTGGCCTCAGCCCCTTGAGGCGGCCATTCCTCCACCACCGCAGCTCTCTTGGCAAGCTGCGAGTCATTTTATGTCTTGTCACAGGCTTTCCAGAGCCAGGCACACAGGTTCTGGAGAAGGCTGGGGCAGGACAAGCCTGCTTTAAGCCCCAAACTCCTCTCAGGCCAGGCCTACCCTCCGGGCCCAGCAGCACTCATCCTGCCTGCCCCAGGACCCGCAGGTTGCGCCCTGTGGTAGCAGCAAAGAGCCCCCCAAATGTCTGTCCTGGGGTACACAGGGCTGAGGCAGCCCCGTCACTGCACAGACACCCACGGGACACGTCACCAGAGCCGCTAGCGGCTTGGCAATTAAGGACGTGGGAGAGGAGCCCACGTCACGCAAGCATTCGTGGCTGCCCTGGACAAAGAAAGAAACAGTGGCTGTTTTTCTCCCCATTTAAATAGCTAAAAGCACCGCTAACAGTTTCTTTCTTTGCGTCCAGCCTGTACTACGTTTAAAGAAAGAAGCAGCTTCTGCTGAGGAGGTGGAAGACGCTGTCAGCAGAAACACCGTGCCTAGAATGCGAGCAGGGAAGACAGCGATGCTGCGAAATAAAGCTTTTACAGCCGCTTCAGATCAGTTGGCCCGGGCTCCAAGGGTCAGACACCCAGCTGGGAAGATTGAATTTCCTCCTCGATAGCCTTGCCCAGCTCAATCTTGCCATCCTGACTTGGCTCCAGAGAAAGCCTCTTATTAAAGGCACAGAGAAACAATAGCTTCTCGCCCAAAAACTAGGAGTTCAAGCAATCCAGTGAAAAAACTGTGCTTGGGAACAAGAACGTTTCAGAGGCTAGTTGATTTTAGTTCTCAGCGTCACTCGTGTCATGGCAAAGGGCCTCTACAGAGGCAAAAGAGTCTCAGCACTGAGGTAGGACATAGCTCAAACACCAGCCCCAGAAGGTGGAGATCATAGCCTTGACTCACCCTAAAGGCATCGCAGAAAGGGCACCAGGTAAGAGGACAAGGAGGATTTTGGCTCTAGGGTTAGTTTGTCACATAGCCCAGGAGCCACTGGCTTTGGCTAGCATTTGACAACTGATTCTGGACCTTGAATGGACGAAGCCATACTCTGCCTCTGAATAATGAGGCTTGCATAGAGAGAAACCCACACTGCCTATAGGGACTCTGTCATAGCAGTGGGCTTGCTCTTGATCCCCATCCCTCTTTCCACCCTGCAGGCCCTACTTGCACGCTCTGCCTTGCTCAGATGGGAAGCTCAGCCATTCATCCAGCACCACGAGAAGATGTGGGATTGATTTCACAAGCTGGTGGACACACTGAGGACGTCACAGTTACATGTGGGCACATTTTATTCTCTGGATGCACTCGCGCATTGTTTCTGCTCAACAGCCAAAGCTTTATTGATTCAAAACCATTTCCCTTCTCCCCCAACCCCAGCATGTTTTATTTATTTTTTTATTTTTTTTTAATTTTTCTATATGTACCCTTTTCCCACCCCTCAACTGCTCGTCCACTTCTGATTTGAGTAATATCTCTGCTTGGAGTCTGTTTTCTCAGAAGAAGCTAACTGACAATTCATTCAATTTTTTTTTTTTTTCTCCCAAGAACCATATAAATTACATGCAAAACATTGTACATAGAGATTAATATCAAAATGCAATACAGATCAGGTGCACTTTAAGCTGGACTCTAGGATATGGCAAACACACCAGGGTACATATTGCTTTGAAACCACCATTTTGTTTTAATGTCATGCATACCACATAATATTCAGTCTTTTGTTTTGTATTTTTCTGTTTTTATACAAAAATACCAGTGCTTATTATACTAGTTACTGGGAAAAAAAAAAAAATCAGATCTGTGTGCCCTCTTCAAATCAAAATTTTGTTGTGAGAGCACTGGATAAATATATATACACACACAAATGTTGGTTTAATACTGTATATATATATATATATATATATATATTTTAAGGGGAGGAAATAAACTAAAGGCAGTTTTAGCCATGGGCTTCTTTGAAGGAAAATTGATTTTTTTTTTTTTTCTGTTGAGCAGGAGGATATCAGAGACAGGCCAGAGAGACCAGCCAGCCTCAGTAGCAGGGGGCAGCCTAGGCAAAGAGATACTGGAGAGGAACAGCTATGTGCCCCCCAACCTCCCTGGCTGGGGCAGGAACAGAGGAGCATCCCCCTCATCACCACGCACCACTGCTCGGGAGATTTGGGGCTGCAGGAGTGCAGTTTACAGGTTGCGTGCTCCAGGGGCTGATGAACTTGTAGGAGCTGGACACGGGTGAGGAACATTGCAGGTACAAGCATCCTTCCCCCCCCGAGAGGTACAGAAGCCTGCAGGGATTATTCTTTGAGGTCCCTGCAGTTATGCAAGGGCTATGGAGGGCAACAGGAGCTGGCAACAGCGTTGTGGAGGTGTGCTTCTTGGATTCGGGATGGGGATTTCTCATTAACCCCAACATCTTGTCACAAGAAGCATTTCCGAAGGGGCTCAGCACTACAGGACGTCTACTCCTTGGCTGGGGAAAGCCAAAGGCTGCCCATGCTAAAAGGTGGTTTAGTTTTTTTCCTTCTTGAGATTGTTTTAATTTCTTTTATTTTAAGCTTATTGCACAAAACCTTTGAAAATTAAGTATAATCCCTGTGCAAATCAAAGAAAACCTAATCACAGAATGCAAATGCCTAAAAATGCCTGTTCAGCAATGCACACAGGACGTGATGTAATGTCTTTGGTACCAACCTGCCAATTTATTTCACAGAAAACCACCACCACCAGAGACCCTACTGTTATTAAGAACTGGATGCAAAATTATGTTCAGAGTGTTTTAATAACAAAGCATTCCAAGGCAAGTTAACACAGATCACAGGGTATGACTTCGGTTCCTGTCTGGCATGGCACTCTCCCCCGTGCACACTCGTGGCAGTTCAAACAAAGCAAAAAATAAAAATAAAAAAAAAAAAATCTCCCCCTCTTTCAAGGCATGTTGCAGAGAGTCCCCAGAAGTTCATGCTGCCGACCATGCCTCTCCACGTAGAGCACCAATCTCCCCCAAACTGTTTTTGTAATGTCCTCAATAACTTAACCCAATAGTCATCTGCTGCCAGTATATCACTGAAACTAATAAAAAAAAAACAAAAAAAAAACTTTACAGAAAAGATGTATGCACAATAAACGCTTATACTTTAAGCAACCAGCCATACCAACATAATTTATAAAAAAACATTTGTCTCGTCCAACTAACGTCTAGTAGAAAGATGGCTGCTCAGAGAAAAGGAAGCTGACTGGCAGCCGGTCGCCGATACACGGAATTTGTTACCTGTCACCGAACTGCCGTCACGCGTCGTCGCGGACGCGGGACTCGAGATTTTATTTATTTATTTTTTTTCTTTAAACAAAATACATATGGCTGACGTAAAAATATCAGTTTTTGATCTAAAGAAAACTATATATATATTTTTTTGCATAATATTTATATATAATTATTTTCCCCCTCCTAAACATGGAAACTAGAACAACAAAAATAGATCAGCTAATGAACAACCAGACCCTTGCGGCAACCCACCAGTCACAGATTTCTGGGAGCGACTTTAAGAGCCTCCAAAGTTGGCTTTTTGTTGTTTTTCATTGGTTTAAGGTTGTTTTTGTTTTTTAAAGCAGGTTTGAGGTAATAAAAAAAATATCAAAAGGAAAAAAAAAACAGTGCCCCCCCAAGTATTTAATAAATATTTATGTAAGCTTGTAAGAACATCATATTTTAATATTTTTTTTTCTTTTTTTTTTTTTCTTTTTTGCAAGTATTTAAAATAGAAAAAAAAAAGTGATCTTTTGAACTATGTCCCCAAACCCCACGGCCACCCTCTGTTACACCACTGGTGCACCCCCAGGCAAGCAGCACCCCCCTGTCCTGCCCAAGGCATTTTTTTTGGCTCGTGTGCAGGAGGAAGGGGAGGCCAGTGATGGGTTTTTGTCTGCGCGGGCAGGGGCTGGTGCCTCGAGACTTGAATTTGCAATTGAGAGGGGCAGTGGTGGCAATTTCTCCTTGCTGTTGGCAGTGTACGGAGCCCAGCCTTCACCCTCCCCTTGCCAGCACCGGGGAGGGCCGGGTGGGTCGGTGCTGGGCTGGGCAACGAAACAAAGACACTTGGTTTTTGCTGTTGTCGTTTAAGGAACACTTATTTCTTGGCAAAGTACTGGGCCCTCGCGTGGCAGGCGGTGCTGCAGGCAGTGCTCGGAGAAGGCACGGGAGATTCTGCTGTGCGTTCTTAAAGGAAAGGAAAAAAAGAAGAAACCAGCCAGCCCCCCCCCCTCTCGTGGGCACCTCTGCTTACGGGGACAGAGGCCGGGCAAAGACGACATCGTACAGCCAGTTATGATCGGGTTCTCTCTGCTTCCAACCAAACCAAACAGGACAAGGGACAGAAGGCTGCAGAGCTGTTCCCAGCCCTAACCACCCAAAGCCACTAACCAGGGGTGAACCCATGGGGGAAAAAAAAACTAAGCCTGAGCAAAGCCAATTCCTGCCTCCTGCTCTGCCCCCTTCTTGGCTTTGCAAGAGGGTCGGGGCAGAGCCAACGTGCCCAGCACCCCAGGGCCTCTGCTCAGACCCGAGGCTCTCACCCTGGGGAGAAACAGTTACAGGAGACCGAGGTGAGGCAGGATGCGGGGTGAAGAGATGATCTTCAAAAATAATAATAATAATAAAATAAAAATAAAGCAGCAAACGAGGCGTGCAGCACCTCTGGGAGCCCTGCGGCTAGCCAGCCAGCCTGCCAGCTCCACAAGGGAGCCCCTTCCCTGGCAATCACGGGTTCTCCCACTGGCCATGGAGACCCCCTCCCTTCCAGGGGCCATGCAGACAGCCTGACTTGTCCCTTCCACCAGCTAAAAGCTGGCCCAGCCGTAGCAGCAATAACTCGCTGCTCATCCTCCTACCGCTTGGGAAGGGATGCGCGGAGCTGGTGGGCACGGCTGGAGCATCCTCGGGGGCTCCTCGGCACTTCGCTGCAGCTTGGCACTCCGAGGCTGGAGGATTATTTAGCCCAGCTGAACACACAAGCCAGAACAGGAAGAAAAAAAATAATAAACACAAAAAAACCCCTCTGCTCCCGAAAGCAGGGGCTGCTAAAGCTTTCCAGGGCTCTTGCCAAAAGTTTCACAGCCGTTCGCGAGCAGAAGAGATGCGTTTCGTAGGATTCCCCAGGAAAGAGCCCTGCTGCTCACCACCACCGTTCTTCATCCCCTTTACACTGCCAGCTCACCTGCACCTAACTTGGTAGAAAAAAAATAATAAAACAGAATATTTCCTGGCCAGCAAGGTTCCAGCCGAGTCCCTTTCATTCCTTGTCTACCCGTCACTGCTTTGGAAACAGAGAGAAACGTGTGCGCACGCAGAGGAGGAGCTGGAAAGGCTAGGTACCATTTTTTTCAAGGTGGAAGACTGGTGTACATCCCTGCATCTATCAACCTGCGAGTAAACACCTTCCTCCTGGCTGTTTGTTTGCTTTTTTATTATTTTTTTTTTTTCAACTTGTCGCACTACAGTGCTAACTCCCCCGCTTCCCGCTGTGAAGTTCCTTGGGGGCAAATCCCACAAGCAAAGAACAAACCCCAACATTAGAAGAAAACCTTAAAAACCACAAGTGGAAAAAAAAAACTCAAAGTCAGAAGTGCAGCCCACAGCCCTCGGGCAGGGAGCGTGCATGTAAGACTACAACAATTTGAACTTTTTCTTTGAACATGCATTTTCTCAAAGTGAAAACCCCCCTCACGGACGCATGGAGCCCAACTCCTGGAGAGGAAAATGACCTGGCTGTTTCACTTGGGCGAGTACCACTGAAAAATCAGGGATGAAGATGCACAAAATTTTGGCGTAGCCCCTCTCCCGACACCCAGCATCGTGGTACTCCGGTTCCCACAGCTAAATAATCGTTTTTTTAAAAAAAAAAAAAAAAAAAAAAAAAACACAAAACCCCCCAAAATGATATACGTATGAGCAGTTTGACACGAAGTGACCGCAGTGTGTGATCAGTTACTGGTGCCAACATCACACAGGGCGCGGGGCGAAGGTGGAGGAGGAGGAGGAGGAGGAGGGGGTCGAAGTTCTAAGGTCAAACCGATGTCTCCAAGCTGTGTAAGGGGCTTTCGGGCTCCGGGAAGGTGACCTCGGTTTGATCGCTGTCCACTGCATTGTTATTTCTGTTGAGGGCTGTCGATCCACCCAGGCTATCCCCACCTCGCTTTTTGAGTCCGTCGGTCTCGGGGTCGTCTTCAGCGCTGTCAAGGAATGGTGTTCGAGGCTCGTCTTCCTCCAGGATGAACTCCGGGTGAGTCATGAAGTTATGGATGGAGCTTCTGGACTCGGGTTTCTCGAGGCCTTCGTACAAGGAGCTACGGAACGCATTCACCACTTTGATCTGCCGGGAGGCGAGGGCGCAGAGCGTGAGGGGGTACAAAAAAAAAGAGGGGTTAGTAGCAGCTACGAGAGGCCCGAGCTCCCAGGAGAAACTAAAAAATAAAAGACGATGAAACAAAAAAGGACGACAACAACAACAACGTCACCACCACTGAACACACAGCTAAGTCAAAATGAGAGATCTATGGTGAACTAGGAGGGCCAACATGGATCAGACTCAGGCACTAGGTGTGTGATGGGGAATCGACCGACTATGGGCGACTTCAGAAGCTGCAAGAAAAGACATAAAAAAAATAAAAAAATAAAATAAAAAAAAAACAGATCACTTTGAATGAATGGAAGCCAAAATGCATTAGTTGTCATTACGTGTGCGCACGCGTATCTGTGTGTATCAACGAGGACAAAAAAAAAAAAAGTGGAACTACGACTCAAAAAAAGAGGTGGGTTAGACAAAGAGTGGGTTCGCTTCAAGGCAAAAACTCTACTGTGGGAGCAACGCGTGTGCTTGCTTCGCTTTTTTAGTCCTACAGAAAGGAACGGGCTTTAAAAAGGCGTCACCGGCTTTTCAAGCCCACGTGCAGCAGCAGGTCCAGGTGGGTGCCACGAGCAGCAGAACGGGCCCCAGCCAAGCATGCAGGAAGGAAGCCAAATGCCCACGAGCTTCCCCGCACTGCTGCCACCCGCATCCCGGGCTGGAGCTCTGCGTCCTGCCCTGCAACGTGCCCGAGGACCCGGCGGTTCCCAAAGGCAGCTGTTTCGGTGGATGCTCTGCACGGAAAACAACCCCAAACCTTGCCAGGACCTCTCGCTGCTCCCGTGAGCAGCCAGGGGGGCTGTCAGCACTGCCAAAAGCCAGGCTCGGGGCACGGCAAGCGGGAGATCCGGAGCCCAGGTTGGGCAGCCAGGCTGCGGCCGTGCCGCCTGCATAGCACCGGGAGGGAGAGATCTGGAAGTCAGCCGGGACGGAGGTCACCGCAGGATCCGCTGCTCCTCCAGAAACCCAGCCTTGAAAAAAAAACAACCTCTTCCAGCCCTCCCTCTGCAGCTGGGTCGCAGCCGTTGGGTCGGATGGGTGCCGAGGGGTCAGAAGGCAGCGATGCTCGGGGCTGATGTCGCCCCCGGGCAGCGGCGTGCAGGGGCTGGGGTGCGTGGGGCAAGGAGCAGCACGGGCACAGAAGTGCTCCAGCCCCCGCGGGTGACTTGGGGCTGCCGTCACTCGAAGATGTCAAAAGGCATCACCGAACGAGAGCGTTGCCATCTGCGGGCTTTCCAAGCGGAGCTGACAAACCGAGCTGAAGGCTTCCAAGCCTGGAAGGACCTGGTGAAGTCACAGGGCTTTGCCTTTTGCTGCAAAGCCGGGAGCTGCCCAGCACAGAGCGCTCTCCAAAGCATCTCTTGGGTCACTCCGCTGCATCTTCCGCTGATCTTCCCTGCTGCCTCTCCCCAGAGGGCCCCAGCAGCTCACACCAGCCCTCCTGGCTCGTGGCACCCTCCCAGCCACCAGGGAACTGCCTTGAAGTCAGTAACACCTCCCCGGAGCAGCAGCAGCCCTGCTCTGTCCGTCTCCTGCCCCACGGAAGGAGCCCTGGTAGCCACGGGCCACCTCCACCTGCTCCCCATACATGTCCCCTGCCTGCTCTCACGGTGGCACTGCTGGCTGAAGCTCAGGCACAAAGAGGAGAGCCACAGGTCGCATGGATGGGATGCTCTCCGCAGCATCCCCACGCTGCACCTCCGCAGCCTCCCCACCACTCAGCCAGCAGCTGAGGGAGCAGAGAGCGCAGTGCTGCCAGGAAAATGATTCAAGGATCCTCTTATAAGCTCAGGAGGCTGAAAATACTCGTGTGTGCTGCCACTTCTTCGGGAACGGGCTGCAGAGCTGGTGAACAGAGGCACCCCTTGTCCCGAGGAGCTGAGCCGGGTTAGGCAGTTGGCCTCGGTTCGATGCTAGGAGGGAAATCGCCACGCGGCACAGCCAGCAAGGGCCTCCTGGGGTCTTTGGTCTCAGCACAAACAGCACCCCCAGAAGCAAAGCAGAGAAGTTACTCCGAGATGAGTCCTGTGCCTGAAACCCTGGGGATTTTACCTGCAGGATGCTCCAGGGCTCCCCTCCCATGGGGGTGCCCTTCCGAGCCCGCTCTGGGTCAGAGCGGTGGTGCCACCCCACGCTGGGGTGTCCCAGGGGTGCAGCACACCTTCTGGAAACAAAGCAGCCAGCTCCAGCACCCACACGAGCTGTGTGGGACACCCCCGAGGAGATGAGGGTAGCTGTGTGATGCTGGAGCACCAGCTGGCTGCGGCAAGGGAAGGTTGGCGTGGCTGGGAACGGGAATTCACAGCTGCTTCCTGCACTAGGATGTCCCACAGCAAGATCCTGGATAAATCCAGGATTTAGGGTGAGTGCACAGGACAAGACAAACCACTGAGCACTGCCTCGTGCCGATGGCAGTGACCTGTCACTTCGTCTGCATCCCAAGAACAGCAACAACTGCCAAAAGCACCAGCTGCTCGGAGGCAGCGTGCAGAACCACCTGAACCACACACAGCCACAGCCCGAGCAGGCTCAGGGGAGCCCTGGTGCCCCACGACGAGGTGGCGAGCCCAGCACAAGCTCCAGCAGAGCAAGGAGCAGCCTCTCAGACGCCCTCCAACACCACTTCAAGCGCTGGCGAGCCCAGACCCTGCCTACCACATCACTGCCTGCTGCTCCACAGCAATGTCTGCTCCACCTCTCCCCCAAATATTTTGATTTAAGCAGCTCCCTCAAACCGATGCACAATCAATTCAGGTGTCCCCTCATCAGAGGAGCTTGGCGTAACCTCTGAGCTTGGAGTAAGTCCTCGTTTTACACCAGCACTGCAAAGAGCCACTGCCCAAAAGGGAGGTGGGAATTAGGTCCTCTGCACGATGCCAGCATCGGCTCCGCCACCGACCCAGGGCTTGCTGGGCCCAGCTGCCTCAAACCAGGTCCCAAAGTCCCAAAGAGGCACGGGTTTAGCTCTGCAGACCACCTCCTGGAGCCAGTCCTGAGATTTCCCTCTCCTCCGACGCCCCCCAGCCCCGCACACGGGGCTGCCAAGGTCCAGCCCCGGGGAGCTCAGCCGGGAGGCAGCGGGACGCCGACAATCTGCGGGGAGGGAAGAGGAGCGCAGAGGGAGGGCAGGAAAGCAGCAGAGGGCGTAGAGAAAAGTCCAGATAGAGAACAGAGGGAAGGCTCAGCAGCCTGAGTTAGCCTTTGGTAAGGTCGGTTGTTGCCTGGAAGGACACGCGCCATCCAAGTTATCCACCCCCCCCCGCTGCAGAACCTGGGGGGGAGCATCAATCCGCAGACTGCAAAGAAATCTGCATTTGGATTTTCTCCCCCCAAATCCCCAATGCCCTCAGACCCCGTCTAAGGGGTTTTCTGCCAATCAGAGTCCCGGCGGTGCAGAGCTGCAGTCAGGAACAGGAGGCAGCTGCAGTGCTGCAGGAGCACAGGGGGGTTAAACACCACCAAACTCAGGCATCGGCGGTGGCTGAACAGAGAGAAAACAAAAAATCACCCCAAATTCCCTCTTCTCTCCCACGCTGCGTAAACAGTGGGGACCGGGAGCTATGCAAAAAGTCACCGAGGGTATTGCTTTAATAAGAGAATGAGGAAAATGACTGTGCAATAAGAAAAAAAATTAAAAAAAAGCCAATTATCCGGGAAAGACACACTACCTACTCCCAGCCTGGCACAGCCCTGCGAAGAGAACCCGGCTCCCGTGCTCGTGGGCCACCTCTGCTGCTCACAGGGAACAGGGAGAGGGCACCACAACACAGGGCTGGGCTCGGGGCTTTGATCAGCTCGGGGCTGGGACCCCAGAGGGGTCCCGCTGGGCCCAGCCACGTTTTCTGTCTCCGTTTGCATGCGGAAAGTGGCGGGCGCAGAAAGGAGCGGCCAGCCGGGCCCGCCGAGCTGCTGCGCGGGGCGGCGATGCTCTGGGGACACCGGGGGACAAAGGGAGCCCCCCGTGGTGTCCCCACAGAGCTGTGACACGCTTCGGTGTGCTCCTTGCCACGGCAGCGTTGGATTTACGCGGAGCTGTGGCGCGTGCGCTCCGGCACCGTCCTGCCCGGGGCTTGCTGCAGCCTCGAGGCAGGGCTCTGGGGGGGTCCCCAGGGTGCGCAGCGAGACCCCCAGCCTCGGCACGGGGACCTCAGCCCTGTCCCAAACGGCATGCAGGTTAACCCACAGCACACGGGGGCTGCTTGCTTCCAAGCCAGCTCCGATCCGGGGGGCTCGGCCGCAGCTGAGCCGCGGTGCCCGGCTGCTCGCACACTGCCGAGCCCCCCCGATCGTGGCAGGAGCCCACAAACCTCTCCTGGCACTCGTGCAAAAAAGGCAGGGAGCATGCAGGCGGCCCCTGGCCGCAGCCCAGCCGGCCCTCAGGAGCGTGCTGACTGCTGTGGGAAGGGTCCGAGAGGTTGCTTTGCTCTCAAAAGGGATTTTAGGGTTTCGGTAAAGCAACTTCTCTGCCAGCCCCCTGGGGACACAGCGCTCCCTTCTCACAGCAAGGCTCTGAGCTGCTGAGAAAGGCACGGTTCTTTCAACAAGAACTCCCCCAAATTTTGCACCCCTCGGGAGGGCGGACCCATAGGTCAATCCTGCAAAGGAGGAGAAGAGGTGAAAGAGGAGGAAGCAACGAGGAATGGGGTGGGGACGGACCTGAAGGTACCAGCAGCTCGTTCAAGGTGCAACGGCGTAAAAAATTAAATTTGTTTTTAAAGGCTCTCCCGCCCCATCCTTCACTTTAGAGATCAGTGCGTCAGTCAAGGGCCAGAGAGGGAGAGAGAACAGGCTGGGAGAGGCTGTGCAGGTGCTCGCTGTGGTTATTAGAAGTCATGCATTTTAATAGACTATCACTCACTGCCCGCAGGAGGAGATGCAGCAGCAGCAGCAACAGCAGAAGTGGTGGGAGTGGAATTGACGGAGGAAAGAGCTACATGGGTTGGGCTAGAAACATTTTTTACATCATGGTGCTGGCTCACAATGGAAGGCTGTCTCCTGAGGGCTCCCTGCAAAGAGGAGGCGCCGGTCTGGAATGTGTAAACTACGTCCATCTGCAAAGAATCAGAGAGTGAGATAGCGTCGCCCCGGGCAGAGACAAGGAGAGGGGTCGGGGACAGAGGGGAGCGGGGTTCGGGCAGGCACACAGGGACAGGAAGGAAGAAGGAGGGATGGAGAGGGGGGAAGGAAGGAGGAGAGCCCCCCGCCCACGCTCCCGCAAACCCGCAGGGGTTTCGGTGGGTGGCTGGGAGCAGAGGGGAGGCGGGCTCCGGCCCCGGCAGGTGCGAGAGGTGCGGGGTTGATCCCCAAAAGTGCGGGGTTTGTCCCACCACCGAGAGAGGTGCGGTGGGGTGGGGAGCACCCCGGGTTACCCCGACAGTCTGCAGGAGGAGCAGAGAGAGGCAGAGGGCAGGCAGAAGTGGGAGCTGGCAGCTGGCGGGCTGGAAACTGCACTGGGAGAGTGTTTGGGGTCCCTCAGCCCTACGGGGCCGTGGCGGGCACCCAGGGCTGGGGCCGTGCCCGAAGGCATCGCAGCCTCCCAGCCAGGGCTGCAGAGGGCTCGGGGGGAGCTGGCAGGGAAGCAGCGAGGCAGCACCCCCAGGGGGCTGCAGGCACCCTCCAGGGACCGAGCAGGGTGCTGCCACCCCAAAAACTCTTCCCCCGGGCTGTGCCCAGCCCCGCAGCTCCTCGCTGCTCCCCTGGGGAAGCGCCAGGGTAAATCACCCCGGAGATGCTTCGCGTCCTGCTTCGCTCCTTGCCCAGCCCGACCTCCATCCCCAGCGGGGTGCTCGGCCCCGGTACACCTCGAGGAACGGCCCCGCACTCCTCCTTCAGCCCCGCTGACCGGGGGCACGAGCCCGTGCGACGCTCGGGTGTGACCTGCTGCTGCTCTGCCCAAATTCAGGGCACCGCGGCCACGAGAGAGATGCTGAAGCAGCACCAGGACTCGCCAACAGCTGCAACATCCAGGAGCATTTTTTTTCCCCCCCAATATTCTAATAGCAAAAGCTCGTGGGAGCCACCACGGCTACAGGAGGGAGACCCCAGAGCCTGCGGGTCCGCGTTCGTACCTACCAGGACACCTGGATTGCCCCCAAAGCCCGCGGCTCCCCGGGGAGCCAGCCGGGGGGAGCAGGCAGCTCACCCCCACCTCGAGATCCTCAAAGTGATGTCTCCCAGAGGAGAAGCCAACACGGCACAAGGCAGCTGCCCTGCTAGCTCTGGTCCCCGTGCCCGGGGCATTTGGCTGGCCCGAGTTGTTTTAGGGCTGAAGAAAGAGGAATGAAGGGCGATGCAGCCCTGCGTGCCCGCAGAGATGGGACTTAAACAGCTTTGTGCCAAGGGGCAGCTCTGCCCCAGGCCTCGAGGGGAAAAAGGGAGCTCTCCCTGCCTCGAGCAGCCAGCCATCGGGGTGGAAAAAAAGCAAAAAACAAAACACCCTTTGGGGAAAAAAAACAACTGGTGTAAAAAAAAAAACAAACAACATATCTTAACCAATCCTCCTCCTTGCCTCTGCGGCAGGGCTGAGAGCACCAGGCAAGGAGCCAGGGGAGCTGGCAGGGAGGGATGGCAAAAGCCCCCGTGGGCAGAGGGAGGCGATGCTTGCTCACAGCAGGGGGATCTGCTGGGAAGCTGGC